CCAAAAATACTGCCCGAGGGCTCCAATCTAGAACACGCTCCTTATTGTTGGTCATGAAGCCTGTTTGAGTAGCGGAATACTATTGCCAAAAAGGAGGATATGATCTTACTCTATATTGGGTACCATAGTATCCCCAAATAAAATACTACTCAAATAACCCCTATACAATCTCAGTTTCCATTTCATTTTCCATTTTCTTTTACATTTGATTCTCCATTATAGGGCCCTAAACCCTATATTAATGGGTACCATAGTATCCCCAAATAAAATACTGCACAAACAACCCCTATGTAATCCCAGTTTCCATGTCATTTTCCATTTGATTCTCCATTATTGGGCCCTAAACCCTTTATTGGGTACCATAGTATCCCCAAATAAAATACTACTCATTTCACAAGCCAAGATCCCATTCTAAGGTTGGCGCTCTCATCCGCTGCGGTGCCGTATACCCAGGACACGAAGTTCGGTTGGGCCTTGCTGACGTGTTCGGTTGGGCATGCCGCATGAAACATCTACGAGTAAAGCAGGGCAGGACCTCACAAGTACGAGCTCCAGGCGAAGCCAAATTCTTTGGAAGGGTTGATCCTCAGCCAAAGCGAAAAATTGCGTGACTTGATGCAGACTGTTGATACAGGTACCCCTGTTGCCAGTTAGGCAGTAGTCCATCACAGCACACTTCATCCTCTCGACGACAAAGAAGGTTAACAAAAAGATAACACGACCCCATCACCATCATAAAGAACCTGGTCTGACAACCTGTCTCTCGAGCTCTGCTTCGGTTGGGACACCTCTGCCTATCGCATGTGGTGCTCAGCTAACTCTGCCATCAAATCATCATGGGAAAGCCCGGGAGCCAGGCTGCTCCGCAACGTTCAGCAACACCGCGCTGGTACTGCAGAACCTCGGCCCCGGACAGGTAAGGTGAACCCTGTCTGGCTGCCAGTAAGAGAGAGTCTGGTCAAGTTAATTCAACTCAAAACCTTTTACTGACGATGCAAGAAAGCCCATCTGTTCCACAAAAAGCTACCGACAATTCATCAAGTGAAGGGATCTTAACCCTAAAGCATACTACCGCATGATCCCAAGGCAAACTAGTAACTAATAGGTCTTCGCCATCCTACTCGTAGTAGCATTCTTGTGAGCCCACGGTTATAATCCGAGACCCCACAAGCCTTGTAGAAGGGCTCTTGTTATACGTTGGCCTTGTCCTGTCCCTGTTGCATCTTCTTGGCTGCAGCATTAAACTGGACGGAGGCAGTACATCCGCGGTGACAGCCACAGATGCGGATCGAAGTGCATGAGACCCTCAACAAGACTTCCAAGCGGCCGGCTGCCGGTTCAGCGACAGGGTCAAATGGACGGACAGGGCGTCGTTCCTGCAGTAGGAACAAAGCCCTACTACGTCTCTCCAACAGCAGCGCTCTGTGCCATGCCCAGCTTTGCAGCTTCACCGAACTTCAAAATCAGGGCTCAGAAAACTCCAATTTTGAGGCACTCAGCTGGGTTCCTGGCGATTGGGCGCGATGTATCTGCAGGCGCATTAGCAGGTGCAGGGGCAAGTAAGAAAAAGGCTGGCAGCAAACAGTTGCTGTCGCTGCTGCAGCTCCGTCATAAATAGTTCATGAAGTTGCAAGTCCCAACTCCTGAGTCATTCAGTACAGCATCAGTGCCGGCAGCTGTGGCTGCGGCCTGCCCCACTGGAAGATACAAGGCATCGCCTTCTTGAAGTACCTGGTATCGTCAGAGCTACTGTAATTGAAAGGAAACCCCTAAACTGCGACACGCTGCAACAACAAACTGGCCCTTCGTGACCCCACAACTTCCTGCACACGTGCGGGAGCTGACAGATCGTGCCAGACAAGTCCAAACTGGGATGCCGCACGATCCGGCTGCAGCTTGCCACATCCGGCGCATCGCCAGGGATCTGGTGTCAGGCGTGGCACGAAAACTTAGCAGCAGCTTACCAAAACTGCAGGTATTCACTGCTCGATGGCGAGTGAAACGACGAAGCTGCAGCGACTATAGCACCCCTTAGTAGCGTCATACTGTCCGCCTGGTTGTAAGTGAGGTTTGCAAAGCCGAACGTGTCTGGAAATCGGCGCCCGCAGATCTCCCAGGTCCTTTGCAAAGCGAGTTTTGCTAGCAGCGCACAAAGCAATACACGCTTCAGATTCAGAAAACCTTAACAAGCTGAGGGATGGGCTTGTTGCCCTGGACTTGTAGAATCACAGCGTCGCTAGGGTCGAAGTGGTAGCCAAAGCCTCCCCACTCTTCTTGCAGCAAGATCTGAGCCCACTTGCAGTGGCAGCTGTGAGGTCATCTGCACCGATGCCCTGCCTACCGCATGAGGCGGAGTGGTGTAGGAGTTGAAGCCTACAAGAACGGCTCGTGTGCTAGGGACTTGAGACTGGTGATCACCTCCTGGCAGCCCAAAGAAGAGCGAGGCACGCCGAAGATACCGAGCCAACCTGGGGTTTTATACTTATAGCATCTCAGGACCTGGAAAGCCACAAAGATCATCACAAGCTCGAGCTCACGGCAGGGCATCTGTGCGATGCACATGGTTCTGCACCAGCGAGAGGTTCCTTTGCAGCCTCGCCGCTAGCAGAGAGCCAGTGCTCGTTGGAGCTTCAGAAGCTTCTTTTTGTCGACTGAGGCGTGCGCGCATGCGCGGCGCGGCGTGCTGCGTCGTCAGCAGCCTCTGCATCCTGCGAAGGTTGCACAGAGCTAGTGGCTAGCGACGATATGCAGTTCGCATCGCCAGCGGAATACGGAACAGCACTCGCACAGATCCTTACGTAATTAATCCCACGGTAGGCAACGCTCAGGAGCTGGGTGTCCGACGTGCGCCGGGCGCGGAATGCCAAACTCATAGGCCTGACTTAAAGCACTGAATCGGATGCTGCACCCGGCTACAGCTCAGGCAGACATGGAGCCCTCGGTTGGTGCCAGATACAATCGAAACAAACTTCACACAGCGAGTAACTGAAGCCTACTGTACATCCGGAAACAGGATCCCAGAACAGTGATACGGCTCCGGCAAGGAAGTGGTAGATAGTGTCAGTGAAGAGCAACGGGGTCACCCACTGCTGCCATCTCACATGAAACAATGGCATGACGTTCCAACAGCCTTGAAACCGCCCACGATAGCATTCTTCAGAACAGAGGTGAAGCTCCAAATCCTGCGTCATGCAACGCATCACACACCAAGCAGGCTGGCCGATGATGGGGTAACCAGCCGTCTATGATGCGAGCAGGATCTTGGCTTTTTGTTCTGACCACAGATGTGCCTGCGAAAGACCTCAGCAGCGTTGGCCGGGCCAGGCCTCGCATCTAAGGACACCGATGGCTCCCGGAAACTGCGGCATCTCAACACCACATGCTATGCACTGGGCACGGTGATTTTGTGATCTACAGTAGTCCGCAGGTCGGAAGCCAAAACGGGAGCTTTGGCAAGCGAACCTCAGCATGTTTTTTCAGCTTAGGGCTTGGCAGGTGTCTCCAGCGCTGCTCAAAGTCTTGAAAGAAATCCTCTGGCAGCCTCAACTGTCATACTGGCCAGGTGGGCTCGCCGCGGCTCGGCCGTGGCAGGCTGGCTGATGAGTTGCAGCAACAACACGAACCAGGCGCTCAGTCTCTCTAAGTGTCTGGACGCCAGGGCCAGGTCTTCGAGATGCGAAGCGCGCGAAGCACGCGAGGCGCGGGGCCTGAAGGGAAGAAGCCCCACTACTGTTTGCAATGACTATGCTACCCCAAGAAAAACTAAAGCTCTCCAAGAGCTGGGCTTCGACATGATGCCGCATCATCAAGCAAAGCAGAGGGCCGCGTGCGTTCAAGCCTACTTGAGAGGATGGGCCAGGCCAGCAAAAGCCAGCAAGATTGGGGTCGTGAAGATTCAAAATCTCTAGGCTTACAGGAGGGCTGCACAAGCGCTTGCTGACAATGACTGCACAACAAGATGTGAATCCTAAAACATAAAAGCAAGTCGACTCTTAAGAAAGTCCTGCATTTCCGCGACAAACTGTGCAAGTTTCGTTGCAACACGTAGGGCGGCGTCTCGCTGGAAACTCTGGCTTAGCCAGTGGTACGGTACTGAATGTTTGAGCCTCAGCTGGACGAAGCCGGCACATATGAGGCCCCTGCGCTTCAGCTTCACATTGTCAGAGAAACGACCGAGCACACTCCTGTTATGCCACAACCCTGTGCCGCACTTTTTCTCGCGTCAGCAGGTGTTCGCCCGTGTTCGGCTCGCACCCATGACGTCCTGGGCAGGGTGGCCGCGAGGTCTCCCTTCTATGCCAATAGCTGGACTGCGCTTCAAAATTTGAGACAAAGACATAGCAGTCTCGGGCCAATCCCCGGGGCCCGGACGATGCATCGCACTCATCGGTCTGGGGCCTGCAATCAAAGGAAACTGGCGGCTGGATCGAGCTTCCTACCAACTACTGTACGCAGTGAACGAAGTCTTCTCCCCTCCGTCTGCACGCCGTTTAACCTGCTACCCAGCACGGAATGCAGTCATCACAGCGTGCCACACGGCTTCTCCTAATTAAGGGGCGTGTCTAGGGATTGTAAGTTAACTGTAGGCTATAGGAGTTATTAAAGATTATGTAGGCAGGGACTACTTTGAGAAAAAAAATATATGAACATCAGCACTTTCCATGCCCGTTTTGAGATTGACAGGGAGACGGCTGACTCCTTCACAATGTTCAGAACTTCTGCGACCGCCAAGCCTATGCTAAAAAGCGATGGCATCAAAACAATTAAGAATTCTCCGCCAAACCCAACCCCTCAACAACCCCCCAAACACCCCAAACACCCCAACACCTAACCCCTTTACCTTCCAGCACAATTCTTCAACCTCCAGCCTCGAAATATGCCATCTTGAATCTACCCTAAACCCTGAACCCTGAACCCTAAGCCCTAAGCCTAAACCCTAAGCCCGAAGACCTAAACCTAGAGCCCTAAACCCTAAACCCTAAGCCCCAGCTACCCAGAGCCTCCAGTCTCTCCTGCAGCTGATGGGCCGCCTCGCTGGCCACCTCCTGCTCTTTCGGAAGTATGGCCTATATAATAGTACTAATAGTAGTAATAGCAGCAATAGTAGAAATCGTAATATGGCCTATACTTACTGGTTGTTAGTGGAGAATAAAGGAATGTAACACAGGGTTTAGGGTTAATAGGAAGTACGGGAATGTAATCCCTGTAGAATCACTATATAGCATATTCCCATAAACCCTGAGCACCACTAAGTATAGGGTCCAAGCCACCGAGGATTTGGCTGGCTGATTTTTTGGGTGGTGAGTCTTTAGGGTTAGGGTTTAGACGTCAGGGTCTATCTAGGAGGAAATCTCAACAGTCCATTCAGCGCAGCCTTTGTGTTGCCAGGAACACCCACTTGAAGGTTCAGGGCTAATTACAAGTGAGGCTGTAAGTCCCAAAAATTAGCTTATGGTTCAAGTTATATGTATCCTACATATGACCCATCTGATAAGTACCTATGAACCTTCCAGCTTGTCCGGCATTAAAAAGCTCCCCGAACACAAGGCCCCATACCATCCAAACAAGTAGACTCAAATAAGGGCCCCTGAAAATCATGGCTGCGTTTGAGAAGACCCGTTTGCACTACAATCCAAAACAATCAATCACACAGCTGCTGGTGTTGCCTGCAGCTGCCTCTTTTCTCTGGCTGCTGTGTTCTTCTCCAGACCTGCGCACGTCCCAGATGAAGGCGAAACCGCCTTGTCTACCTGTGGAATTACAGTACCATTGGGTCATCGGTGGAACAAGATTTCCTGCATCCACCGTATGAGCTATAGATTACACTTCTAGTATCCCCCTTAAGAACCCCTATAGTGTATAGTAGTCCCCTATATAATCCCCTTTAAGGAGTTTAGACGATAGCTCGTATGACTTTCCATGCAAACCTGCCGGAAGCACTTAGGAGAGCCATGGACAGCTTCGCCAGGCTCTCATCGTCGGAGTCGAAGCTCGAAGAACGCCTCGGCACAGCCCAGAGTAAGACGCTGTAATAGTCAAAGTAACAGTAATAGCAACAAGAATATATGTATATATAGTAGTAAGAATATGAACATTGGGTCCCTATACCCCCCGACTGGTTCCATGTCCAATTCCAGTTGATTTTCCATTTGTTTCTCCATAAGTGGGGTTATAACCGTTTTATATGACTCCTACATACTTAGTCAGACTAGTGCTGCAGCTACCAGCCGCGACGCCAGGGCAGGGCCAGCTAAGTTGACACGAGGCCCGTCGTCACGGAGACTGTTCACTCTGGCCCTAAACCCTACACCCCTAAACCCTAAATCCTAAACCAGTAAGCAAGTGCAGAACTAAATCATGCGCACTCGACGTTCGTACATTGCAGTCAGATGCTCCACCTCAAAACGGGAAACCCTGTTGGTCCTGTAACACCTCATGCTATGGAACAGAAGCAGCAAAGCAGCAGCTAGGCAGTCTTCCGAAGGCAAGACTCATTACCGTGTACATGCTTTAGTGCTCAAAATGAAAATGTGGAGTGGATCTGGAAACTAAGCAAAATAATTCCATGAGTACAGGTATATACAGGCTATAAGTTCCTAAAGGAATATGCCCTATAAATTTGTCCTGCGGGAAAAGTAGACTGTGCATATGCACATATAATGTTATGTACATACTCGAGCATGTGGAATGTAACCTCTAGTATATAACATCGAATATGTAGTATGGTAGATAACCGAATTTTACAATAATATACTATATGGGGGACTGTCAAAATTATGGTCCCTTTTTTGGGTCCCTATTATAATACGGGGCCTAATACGGGGCCTAATTTAGGGGACCCACAAAGGGACCATAATTTTGACAATTCCCCATATTACATACACTAGGCAGAGGAAGACTTGCCGAGGGCTTGACGGATGCGACTCGTGGGCCAAGGAGGTCTCCCTCGTCCAGAATAGCTTAGGGTTTAGGGTTTAGGGTTTAGGGTTTAGGGGTTTAGGGTTTAGGGTTTAGTACTTGGAGGGTCAGGAGGACTTACAAGCTCTACGCTGCAACCCTTACAGGCTAGAAAAGATCCCAGCTATCCCAATTCTCGAACCAAGTACTGAGTCCCCCTGACCCTCCGAATACAAGCTCAATTGCAGGGCTTTGTGAAGGGTTAATTGTGTAGGGGTTTGGTTGTGAATCATGATATTAGTCATAGCAAGAATGAGGCGACCCGCAACCCCTCACTTCATTGCCGGACTCCTATGTTGAGAAAGGGACAGTTTTGATTTGAGACGCGTTAATATTCAGAAGGAATTTGCAACCTTGCATCCAAACCACAAGGTAGCTGGATAAGAATTGAACATGCGTTGACTTGTACGGTAGTTTCCGTTCCAGCTTGATCCTCCGCATCTGAGCTGGCGCAAAACGACTCGAAACTCAACTTGCTTTTAAATTCAAGCATGAAAGCAATTGACACTAAGCCCAATCCATCGTTGAAGCCTTTAGTAATTTCAGTATGCCTGACCTTCATCTTGTACCTCGCCAGTACTAACTGTACTCGTACAAAATCACGCCCCTGTAAGCCTATTCCTTTGGGATTGATAGCCTCTTGCAGCTAAGGCTGCAGCCCACTTTGCCCACGAAGTCGGAGCCTGCCACGGGCACAGTCAGCATCCCAAAGGGTCAAGGCCACCACAAAACTCGAACTGCAAAATGATCAGCATGAGCTAAATGAAACGCTTTCAACACCATCACGTGAGGGAGGGAATCTAAACCCTAAACCCTAAATAGTAGCTTCCATTTTCTTTTCCATTATCCCTATATATCCCATATATAACTCCAAGGGAATGCTGCCTCTCCGCTATGTCGGCTTTCTCGCTCGCCGCGTCTGCAGGTCCAGCCTATGGAGTCCAGGGCCCCAAACAAAGCAGGGTTTATAGAGTTAATAGGGTTTAGGCTTTATAGGGTCTAGGATATAGGGTATGGGGCTTATGGCACAGCCTGCATGTCCACTCCATATGGAACCCTCCTGTTTCTTGCCCAAGTGAATTTGTTCTTAGGCGCTAGACCTGAAGTCATCGAAGCATTTCGTGGCCACATGCTGCATCTTTCCACATCATACCCTGAGCCCTGAACCCTACACCCTACAACCTCAACCCTACCCCCTAAACCCTAAAGTCTCCAAGCGCTTCACTGCAACGACACGAGGGTAGGCAGCGGCCAGCGGATCAGGCCGCGCCTACTGCACTTCAAGCTGCTCGAAGCATGCCATTGTAACTATTACTGCTATTGTTCCTAATTCTTACTACAGTTATTGCTATCACTACTTATTAGTATTACTACTAGTAGTATTACTACAATCATTACTATCATCACTACTATAATTACTATCATTACTTTGCGCGGATGACAGTGGAAAGCTCTGGCGAAGGTAGACTGTGACAGTCTACATAGGACACATTCTTCGCATATGAATGACGTGACCCAGCCAACGTCTAACATTCAGTAAGAGAAGGACAAGATTATCTACCCGGAGGCTCCCTTCTGAATGTGGAAGTGCATATCGAGCTCATACCACAAGCTGGCCTGGCGGGTGGACCCACCCATCACAACCTGCAAAGCAGATACCATCGCAGGGGTCTTGAAATGTCTTGAAGGTCCTGTACCTATCATACCTGAAGGCGACAACCCGTCGCAGGGGCAAGGTTACCCAATTTTCTTGGCGGGCTATAGTTCTTTCTCAAAATGGCGGGGCACTGATTCAAGAACCAGTGCTCAGCTAGGAATTTAGCAGGAATCGGTTCATGAAGTCACTGGGGCTGTAGTGCGTGAGGCTTCTTTCCCCAACTACTATGGGGTTCCACAAAGATCCAAGCTCTAAGCACTAAACTCTAAATCCAAACCTCAACCCTAGACCGTAAATCCAAACCCTAAACCCTAAATCCAAATCCCAAAACCCTTAGCCCTAGATCTGACAAGGAGCCTACAGAGCCCACAAGACAACACGGAGCCTCAGCCCTTATTGAAACCCTACTATAAACCCTAACATAAACCATAATATAACCTTGATGTAACCCCAATATAACCCTAATGGAACCCTAATATAACACTAACATAACCCCTAATATGACCCCGAAATAACCCCACAAGAACCCCAACTCGGCAATCTCCCTGGCCAAAGGGCGCCTTGGCCCCTGCCTTGCTTGGTGCCCCCAGAGGAGAGCTACCAGGAGCTGCTGCGGCCATGAAGGCCTTAGGGTTTAGGGTTTAGGGTTGCAAGGGTATAGAGTGTAGGGTTTAGGGTTTGGGGTTGCAAGCGTATAGGGTCTAGGGTTTAAGGGTTCAAGGGTTTAGGGTTTAGGGTTGTAAGGGTATGGGGTTTAGGATTTAGGGTTGCAGAGGTTTAGGGTTTAGGGTCTGGGTTGCTGTTACGGAACTTAAGCCAACTTGCCAGCATATGGGCAAAGAGTAACTGATTGGATTTTCTGATAACGGGGTAGTTGCACTCATAGACATGATGGCACGAATTTCGCCATCAGAAATAGCGCGCATGGTGATGATAGCAGTCCGAAAACGACATGGTAGCTTCCCAAAAGAGGGAGACCCCAATATAGACCCCAACATACTATGATCCTCATTATGGGGACCCCCCCAAAAGTATCCCTAAATTTTGTGAAACCCTCATATAGCGAACAAGGCTTTGGGGATCTCAGCAGAAAGTCTGTGATCCCCTTGTGCATTTGAGGCTCCGGCATGATATCTTGGAAATCTCAAGAAGGACAACAAATATTATAGCGTACTGAAATATCTTCTGGTATATTGGGGTAGTATATTGAAGTATATTACGGCAGCCATGGCATAATGTAATATGAATCAGGGTCCCAGGTTTCAAGAGGAAGAAACTCGAGGCATGATGACAGTTTAGTGCCTTCAAATCATGCACGCATGATTGCCTCCGTCTGCGATGAACCCTGGTAACTTGGGCATACAATGGTCTTACTGGTGCTTATGAGGGATCCCCATACTCATTCCTTATAGTACAGAAAGTCCCTCACTACTCCCCATAAGCAACCCTAAACCCTAAACCCCAAGCACCAGCAAGTCGCTTACAGACTGGGGTCGCTCATAAGGTTGTCCCCTTACCTCGTCCGTCTACAATCAACTTGCAGAATGTCGAGACACTGCCTTACAAGTATTTGCACACCCAATATCTTCGAGACTTCTAAACAGCCCTTTTTTTCATGATGCGTAGAAGGCCCCTAGCCCTAACGCACTCCCAACTGAGTCCCCTTACCAGAAGGGCAGACCAAAAACAGGAACCTCAAGTCTCCGAAACTCCCCGAAACCTATACTCGGAAATCCGAAGAAGCTTTCACATGCTTCCTAAAGGGTCGAAACGAAAAACTCAAACTACCTGCAAAGGAGACACCATTCCCTTCCACCAACCGCAAGCGCTGAATGCAGGCTTCTTTTCCCCCAACAAGCGAAGCATTAGCGTAGGATTGTGATGGTAATAAGTGGTAGTTTCCCAAAAGAGGGGGACCCCAATATGGACCCCAATATACTATAGCCCTTGTTATAGGGACCCCCAAAATGGTACCCCTACTTATGGGAAACCCCCAAGTGACTACTACCCCTAAACCCTTAACCCTAAAACCTAAACCTCTCTTATCATATAGTAA